CTTTAAATACGACAACACATTTCTGCTTTCTTTGGAAATTGTCTGCCCTCATAGGAAATCGCCGGGGGATTTAAAGGGAGCACTAAGCACGAAAATATGGCCTCAGAATGGTCAAGGTCACCAGCCATTGGTAACAAAGTCAAAATATGCACCCAGCCTCCCTTCTCCAGTCACCAGAGGACACTGCCTCCCCCAAAACAAGAAAATTGTTAACAGTTCTCAACAAAATGGAAATTCACAAGACCTCTGAACTTTGTTCCAAGTAGCACTTTTTTTTTTAATGGGGAGAAAAAGTAGTGAGACTTCACATAGGTAAAGAAAAAAGCTGACAAGTTTGGATGAGAACCAAATATGTCAGTATTGGGGCCTTTTCTTGGGCCTTTGTTGCCTTGTTATTCAATTTTTAGCATCTAGTTAGAACTATATTTCCTGGATCGTGAGGACAAATTGTAAAGGGTCTTGAGGATAAATTCAGTTTAGGCTTTTTTTGCTTTCTTTCTTTTTCCTTCCAAATACAAAAGAAAGTGGCTGGTAGTTTAAGAGTGGATCGACCTGACTTTCAAACAGTTATTTATTTACTTTTCTCTGGCTTTTACTCCTTCCACTGATAAAGTTGAGATAACTCTGCCTCCAGTAAAATGTTGCTACATGGCTGAAATGCTGGTGTTGGGACTCGAAGTTATGCATTAGGAATGCTCTGCTGCACTTGAGCCTGGAAGCAGAGACTGATTTCTGTTTGAGGCCACACCTTTGCTTGCCAGTGAGACAGCAGCATTACATGGGTGCCTTGGACCATACGGAATCAAAGGCATTCCAAGCCAATGTGTCTGATTCCAGGATTAGGAAAATAACAATATACACCCCTCTAAACAACAACAACAACAAATTCTCATTCCTTTTTTTTGTATATTTTTTATAATTATATATAAAACAATTGTCTATAATTGTTTGAACTATTCCAGAATAAAGATTCTGATCTTTAAACTCTTCATAGAATCACTCTCTAGAATTTTTATTCATTCTTGGGATTTGGCATAATAAAGTCTACGAGTAAGATCAAAAACATTACCAGTCTACCATCTCAGTCATTTCCACTTACCCATTTCTAGTACTCAGCGAATTTGGGCGGCTACATGACACTAGGACATAGGTTTTATCTGAATCCCCCAAACCTATGGTTTTTTTTTTTTACTCCACTCCTCCAGTGCTCAGTCTAGAAGGAAACTAAGGTGCGCACCCCTGTCTCAGATAAGCACCTCAATTTCCCTCAAGCTTTCCTTCCAATTCTCCCTCTTGCCCCTACCCTAAAAGGAGAATCTTTCTGGGTACAGGGAGTTCTTGCTCCTGTACCAACACGAATTTGCTGTTATTGGAGACCTAAGTCTCCTTAGACCCTAGGTTCCTGAAATCCAAGAGCCTTTTCCCCCTACTCTGCAATACCATTTCTCCCCAGGGTCAAGGCCACCAACTGAATGGGCGGGGCTGTGGGGGTGGGTTGGGGGTAAGGGGGTAATGCTAAGAGATGTAAGAGGAAATGCAAAGATGGATTCTCTGGATCTTAGGCTATCTTAAAATGTTACTGCTCTTAAAATAACTCACACATGCAGTCATAAGGACTGAGTGGCGTAAGAATAAAAATGAAGGGAGTTTAAAACAAAAACTATAATGAAGGAAGAAATAACAAGATCTTATTGGTGGAATACACACAGGACAGAGGTGGGAAGAAATGAATTTGAGGGTTTGGATGGAGGTGATGTTAGCTGTCACTGAAACTCTAGGCTGAGGACACCAAAATGAATAATAGTAACAAAATCTGCCAAGGATTTTTTTCCCCCAAGACAGTAGGAATTCAGGGAGCTATGGGAGGCTGCAACTGTGAACAGACCGACTGGACAGGAGACTTGTGCAAAAACAGTTTCAGATGGCCTCTGGTCACCTTTCCTTCACCACCATAGTAAAATCTCTGCCTCTGGGCAAGGTTTAGCCACCATTTTTTGAACATGCAATGTATGTTTTGCTCCACAGGCACGTAAGAAAATCCCTCCCCAGTTTTGTTCATTATGCTGGCCCCTGCTGAATAGGCATACACCTGATAAATCCTGCACCCCATCTGAGCTAGAGGCAAATTTGAGCTAGCTTCCCATCTCCTTGCTCTGTCATCTTGCAATAAAACTTTTCTTTGCAAAAGACCAGTGCTTTGGTGTTTGGCTTTCCAATGCGAGTGGGCAAATAGCTTGACTCAGTTTGGTAACATCCCTGGACATAATTTTCCACAGCTTATCTTCCCCCTTCTCCTTTCCCTTCATGTACTCAATTGCCAGGTCCTGTTAATTAAGTTTTCCATATTCATATACCTCCTCTTCACCACCGTCACAGCCCTTGTCATGCCAGCAGCCCCTCTCCTCTGGTGTATCTATTGCATTAGATTCCTTCTTTCTCTTACCTCGGCCCCCGATAATTCATCCTGAAAATGACCGTTCTAAAGCAACAGCCATGTCAGCCAAATTCCCCTCTGGCTCCACTGTATGCATACAGGGTATCTAACTCTTTTGCACATGACCTACACCATGTGGCCCACTCCTGCTAGTCTAGCTACACCTGACATCCCCTTCTTGAGGCTGTGGCTGAGGCTGAACAGTAAGGTAGCATAGCGCAGAGGCGGAGGGCCATGCACCTAAACCCACTGTCCACCTGGCCGAGTTATTAACTACAGTGATTCAGTGTCTTCATCTAAAAAATGTTGCTGAAGATTAAGCAAGAATATATCTTAAACATATACCTTATACACAGTAAGAGATGGAAGTGTTTGCTAAATAAAAGAAAAATACTTCCCCAGATTGTCAAGTTCTCCCTAACCCTAGTGAATTTATACCTTTAAATTCTTCAACTCATTTTGGAGGCCCCTTTTTCCCTTGGTCAATCTTTAGTCTTCCTCAAGAAATAACAAGTGTTGGTGAGGATATGGAGGAAAGGGTACCCTCCTACACTGTTGGGGGTAAAATTAGTGCAGCCACTATAGAAAGCAGTATGGAGCTTCCTCAATAAACTAAAAACAGAAATACTGTACAGCAATGAGTGGATCCAGTAATTCCACTTCTATGAATTTACTTGAAGAAAGCAAAATCTCTGATTTGAAAAGATAAATGTACCCCTATATTTACTGCCACATTACTTACAATAGCCAAGATATGTAAGTAACAAAAGTATCTTTCAATAGATGAATGGATAAAGATGTGGTGTATACACACAAAGGAATATTATTCAGTCATAAAAAGAAATAATCCTGCCATTTGTAACAGTATGGATGGACCTATAGGGTATTATGCTAAGTAAAATAAGCCAGGTGGAGAAAGACAAATACCGTATGATTTCACTTTTATGTGGAATCTAAAAACAAAACAAAACAAAAGGGGAAAAACAGCAACAGACTCATTGACACTGAGGAGTGACTGGTGGTTACTATGAGGACGGGGATTGAGTGGATGGATAAAATAGGTAAAGAGGATAAAGAGGCATGAAATCTCAATCATAATGTAAATTAGTCATGGGGATGAATGTACAGCATAGAGAATATAGTCAATGGTCCTGTAACATCTTTCTATGTTGACAGATAGTAACTACACTAGTTGGGGGTGAGCACTTAATAACGTATACAACTACGTCACTATGGTTTATATTTGAAACCAATAAAATATTGCATATCAACTATACTTTGATAGAGAAGTTAAATTTCTTAAAAATCTTGTCTTCCTTCCAGAAAAAGGTAAAATGTTGGGTCCTCTGTGAAGCCTTTCTATTTGCACTCTGTCTATCCCACTATTAAAATAGTCATTCTATTATAATTTGCATTAGTTTCCTATGGTTGCTGTGATAAATTATCACAAACTAGATGGCTTAAAACAACAAAAACTAATTCTTCCACGGTTCTGGAGGCTAAAAGTCTGAACTCAGTTATCCCTGGGCTGAAATCAAGTTGTTAGCAGGGCCACACTCCCTCAGGAGGCTCTGAAGGGAATCTGGTCCTTGATTCTTCTGGCTTCTGGTGGCTGTCCACATTCCTGGGGCTGTGGCCATATCACTCCCATCTTTGCCGCCCTAGTAACACTGCTGCTGCCTCATACCTGTGTCAAGTCTCCTCTGCCTCTCTCTTGCAAAGACACTTGCGCTTGCCTTGACAGTGTATAATCCAGGATAATCTTGCCATCTCAAAATCCTTAATTTAACACATCTGTCCAGGGATTAGGACCTAACATCTTTGGATACCACTATTTAGCTACTCTATCACTGTCTGCATGTATGTTGTTGGTCTTTTTGCCTTTGTATGACAGGGTCTATCAGAGTAAGCACATAATGTGTAAGCAACCAGTGAAATACACATACAGGTATAGTGGTATAAGGTAAAGGCCCATTGTCCATGTTCATTAATATATTCCTATTAATATATTCTTTGCAAAAGTTTTATTTCCCAAGGCCAGATCTACTCTTTTCATCTGCTAATCTGTGGCTGGATAGTTTCCTAATGTATTAGATCAACTTCTAGATTAGAGAAATTAAACAAAGGGGGCCTTCATCCTTGTATCATTTCTACTGAGCTACAGTGAGGGAAAGTAACCAAAAAACCCCATTCAAACTCCATCCCTTCCAAGCCACAGGACGGAAGGGAGAGGAAAGGTGGAGGGGCCCTGGCAGCTGGGAGGCCACTCTCCTGGAATGTGAGAATGCAGCGTGGCAGGCTGACAAGCATGGCTGAAAGGAAGAGTGCTGTCATCAGTTGGTCCTGGCCCATTTGTTGCCAACCCTCAGTTACTTATTTTAAACCAGTTTTCTTTGTAACTTAAACTCTTACAGTCATGGCTATTGCTTGGCTGACCATTTCTCCATCTTGAGTCACTTGAGTTCAGCACAGGCATTTCTCTGAAATGAGGCTTTTTCTTTTCCAGTTTTCTTAAATCACAGTCACCTTCACCCACAAGAATAAGACTGTTCTAGCTATCACTCACCTGGGAAGACAACTTGGTAGCTATGCTATGGTTTTCTCAGCTCTTGGAAATCTTTCTCAATGAGACAGGAAAAAAAATCACTTGCAATATAAAAAGAAAACAAATAGATTATTTCACACAATCCTTGAAATAGTAAATTGTTTACTATATTATAATTGTTCACTATAATATAGTTTCTTTACTATATTATAATTGTTTGTCAGTTTTGTCACCTTTATGCTGGTTAGAGCCATCTACTCCCAACAGAATATTGAAAACAACTATGGAGCCCAAACATTTATCCAAGATTTGCCTAAGTAGGTATCTATTCAAAAACATCTAAGCTTTGAGAAAATTCTTTCATTTATATATACTATCCATCTGTAATAAATATAATTGTCAGAATTGATTTAGGTATGTGAGTGTCATAAGTACTCTACAACCCATCAGAGGCTTTTACTGATCAAACTGGACTCCAATGGCCTCACCAAAGAGACCAGCATACCTCCTAAAATCATCTTAAGTAACACTCTTCCTGTAGCTCCTCTCTTATCACTCTGTCTTAGCAATGAAACTTTTCTCATGCTGTTCCCTCTGCTTAGGATGCTTGTCCCAACTCCTCTTCTCTTGATTAAGTTCTATTCATCTTTTGGATCATAGTTCAAGCATTACCCTCTCTGATGCACATTCTATTCTTTCAAGTCCCTCTATCTTTGCATGTAGTTCTTTCTACCCAGAAAACTCTTCTCCCCTCCTCCACTTGTAAAGCTCCGTCTATCCCTTAGGCTCAGCTCAAATGTTACTTGAATGTGGCACCTGCTTTGCACAAACCCCTGTTCCTCAGGCTGAGTCTGTCACTCACTGCCTGTATTCCCACATAATACTTTTTACAAGCTACCACAAGCTCACTTCCCAGTGAGCTGTATTTGTTTGTGGAGGGACATCTGGGTTGATAGCAAGGGCCTCAAATTCAGATTGACTTGAGTTTGAAACCAAATTCTACAACTTAATGTGTGACCTTGGACATTCTTCTTTCTGAATCTGTTTCTAATTTGGAAATGGGGGACCTAGTATACCTAATTCATGGGGTCACTGTAATTATGGATTAAATGAGATGTGTTTAATGCACTTAGCACAATGTGTGGCCCATATACTCAAATAATGAATGGTAACTATTATGAGGTGGTGAAAGAGTCCGATGCAAAGACTCAGGCCATTTTGTCCATCTTTCCATCCCAGTGACTAGCACATAGGGGCACCCGGTGAGTTCTTAAAACTGAATGAATGAAATAATACCCATAACGTATTTTTCTTTACAAAAGGGCATGAAGTTTATTCATTTTAGGAATTTTACTTAAGTGTCAAAAACTCCTGATTTTATACTCCAAATCATACTCATCTTTCCCTTTGCTAAACTAGTCCTGAACTTACATGTCTAACAGTTTGAGTTCAAACTTGAATATTAAGTATTAGTGTTTTCTAATTCTCTTTTCACGCTTTTAGTGTTTTTACTGCATTTCTATCAGTTTCAGCCTTTACCCAATTCTAGTGGAACACAGCTCATACTATTCTTTCTCGTATGAATTATACCAATGGCATGCATGTTTGTAGGACTTACATGCTAAGTAAGCACTGTTCTATGAGCTTTACATGTTTTAAATCCTCTGTGTGACTCATAGGCAAATGACTTTTTAAGATGATAGAGGTGAACGATCAAACCGATTAAAACCACTGCAAATTCTAGCTTCAAGTTCTGGCCGCAGCATGGCCTCTGCCACCAACCAGAGTCTAAGTCCCTTGAAGGGAGGGTTATCTCCCGCTTCCTCTGCATGGTTCCCAGGATGCAGATTCTCGGTTCATTTCCTCTTCTGTCCTCGTAATTAACTCACACTAAAGGGTCAGTGGGACGATTTGCGTCCACACTGAGTATGCTAGAGACTCCCTAGGCTTAAAGCCTCCCGAGGTCTACGAACCTTCCACCTTGGAAAGCACCCTTTCACCCTCGGCACGACCAACTTTTCTACTGTGGTTTCCTTCTGGGTCCCGAATGACTCCTAGGGCCTCTGACAAGGACGTAGGAACGTACGTCTGAGACATCTCTGCCCCCTTTAATTCACCAAGGGCGTCATCCTACCGGCCGAGGCGACTGCCCAGGGGACCTTGGACGCTTGCTCCGCTTGGCGACCCCACGCTGCCCGCCGGAGAGGGGACAGCGTCCCGCTCCCCCCGGGAGCCGCCGCGGAGGCGCACACGTCCCACGCCCGGCCTCCACGGGCCGCCGGGGCTGCGGCTCCTGGTCAGGCCACGCCGGACCCTCCCCTCAACCGCGGGGAGGTCGCCGAGGGTCCCGCGCGCGGGGCGGGGCCCCGGGCTTGTCCCCCTCCCCGCGGCGACGCGCGGGCACCGGGCGGGGCCGCCGTCCCTTCCGGGGAGCGGTGCCCGGCGCCGCGTCTGCCGGGCGGCTCGCCTCCCCGCCCCCCGCCGCTCTGGGTGACGCTTCTCCCAGCACAGCTCGCGGGCAGCCGCAGCGCAGCCACCGCCGGCGCCCCTCCGCGCCGGCCCAGCCCGCGCGGCCCGCCCGCCTCGCCGCCACCATGAGGGCCGAGGGCGACGGCGGCCTGGAGCGCTTCTGCAGCCCGGGGAAGGGCCGGGGGCTGCGCGCTCTGCGGCGCTTCCAGGTGGGGGACCTGCTCTTCTCCTGCCCGGCCTACGCCTATGTGCTCACGGTCAACGAGCGGGGCAACCACTGCGAGTACTGCTTCGCCAGGTAGGGCGGCGCCGGCCGGAGGGCGGGAGCCGCGGGCCCCGCGCGGGCGGCTCGGACCGCGGCGGGAGGAAGTGCGCGCGGCGCGCGGGGTCCTAGCGCCCGCGGCTCGGGCGGCGGCCGCGCGCTTTAACTCCACGCCGCGAGATGCCACGTGCGTTAGGAAAGACGAGCCAAGTTCCCGCCGCACGCCTTGCACGTCCCGTTTTCTTAGTTTGCTCACGCGGGATGTGCAAACCCCCGGGAGCGCAGGGCCCTGCCCTCAAACGTGGGCTCGGAGCCAGGCTTCTTCCAAGCAAGGGCATGCGCTGCCCACTCAGTGCATTGCCCAAGATCCCCAGATTTTTGCTGCCACCGTCTGTCACCTTTAACTTGTGCTTCCTGCGGTGTGTTGTGTCATATATGTTCCTCCGCCCCTCCACTCCTCCGCCGCCCGCCCAGCCTTGCTGGTTCCTCCATGGAACTTAATGACGCAAAAGTACATGGCCCATCTTCCTCCTTCTCACTCTGCCCTGTGTTTGAAGAGAAGCCAGAGGCGTACTTAGCACATTCCTGAAGCCTGAAGGGCTGCACTGTTGGGATCTCTTAGCCCTCGCCTGGGATCCTCGCCTTGGATCTCCAAGGGCATTAGGCAAAACGTGGGGTCGGCAATGTTCTTTAATTGTAGTACATCATACGTAGGTATATGTTCACATGTATGCACATATATTAATACACACACATAATCATATCCTCAAGCCTTATGACAGTTTCAGATGGGAAAGTCATATTAGAAATCACCAATCCAGCACTCTGTGTTTTACAGGTGAGAAAACTAAGGCCCACAGAGGAAGTGTGGTTGTGTATATACAGTCACACGGATAGTTAAGGGAATGGAATCTGTTTTCTTCAGTTATGCCCATTTCCCACCAAGTTAGGTGCTTGGTACAATTCCAGAGGCAGGACGCATGGTGTTGGGAGTTAAGTTCCAATGTGACCTTCCACTAGTCTCTGAGGAATGTACCAGGCTTTACTTGGTTTGAACCTCAGTTTCTTCATCTTTGAAATGGAGATTTCTGGGCTTTATTAAGCTGACCTAAGGTCCTACCAGTACATTTTGAGTACAGGTGTCAAGTCCAATAGACACTGAAGTACCCAATCTCTGAGACCTGTGCGCCTTATTCTACGACAAGACATAGCAAAGGAAGGGACAAAGGCTAAATATTAGAGCAATCTTGCCCAGACTCCCTGCCAGAGCTGCCTTCCGCTTGGGGGGACCTGGAAAGGAACTAGACACAGAATCATGCCGTGGGCAGCTTAAGGGCTGTATGTGATGTGGCTCTTTGAATTGGTGAGCCAAGAGCTGAAGGGTCATGGCACCACTTTGCGACGTTTGAGTGAAGTGAGCATTGGGTTTTCCCAAAGTTAAAAAGGCTGCTGTGACTGGTCCCTTGATCTTCTGAGCCTCGCTGTGTCTCGGAGTCTGAAGCAGTGTGGGTGTCTGGAGTAACAGGAACAAAGCGGGGTCACCCAGCACAGAAGGTGCCTCCCTCCACCAGGGATCCCCAGTGGTTCTGGAGTCTGACCTGTGCGGGAAGACTGGTGCCAGGCACATAGTAGGTACCAGATGATAGTTACCAGTCCTCCAGTGAATTAAAGATCAAATCCCTCTGGGTTCAGAGGGGGAGAAGTGGAGCTGAGAGCTGCTTCTCTTTAGCTGTGAGCCTCCTAACTGTATCTGCTATACACACCCCCAACTGTGGACCATTAAGGCGTGGTCAGATGCCAGTCTACAAATCACCCTGCCCTCTGTGACAGCCTGCTTTTCTTTTTCTGAACAACATGCGTTAGACCCCTCCCCAGGGCTGCCGCATGCACTGGGTGGTACCACTACGTCTCCCTCCTGCCACTTTTCTCTGTTGGGCTTAGTTGATTCTCAACACCCCCAGTTCCTTTCCTCTCTTTCTTCCTCCAAGGAGTCATTTGAAATTAATCAAAACAATATGCAAGAAATAATGATACCATGATATGAAATCAGAAATATCTTTGTGTACTCCACCCTATAATTTCTATTAAATCTGGTTAGTTTAGAATTAGTGGTTAGATCATTCTTATAGATTTAGCACCCTTTCCTCTGTGAACTATTTGTGTATGACCAAGGACAAATCCATCTGTCCAGCTGTACCAGAGGAATAGAAATATCTTTGTGTACTCCACCCTATAATTTCTATTAAATCTGGTTAGTTTAGAATTAGTGGTTAGATCATTCTTATAGATTTAGCACCCTTTCCTCTGTGAACTATTTGTGTATGACCAAGGACAAATCCATCTGTCCAGCTGTACCAGAGGAAACACGAATGTCTTCATGGTGCCTCAAGGGAGTAGGAGCTGAATTCTCAACTATTGAAGCATATGGACAAAATCTACTTTCACCCCACTTTCCAGCCCCAAGAAAAAGATACTCCTTATTCTTTCTTCTGCCAGCAGTTTAGTGTAAACAATATTGCTTAAGATCATAAGCCAATAGAGGTTTTCCCAGTCTAATTGTATCTGGGTTTAACATATTTTGAAGGAAAATAAGTGATTTGTTCAGGAATACGTGTGTTCTATAAATTGAAAAACAATGGGAAGTTTCTTAGGTCAAAGTATAATGGGATTCTTATTGTCAAGGCAATTCAGGCAGAGGTTTGTTTCTGGGAGTTTTAAATTTGTATCACGTTTTCTCACTTTGGTGGGTGACACTTGGGAAGATGTGTATGTTGCTTCAACTGCTGGAAGGCAGCTCCTAAAAATATGTCTTCCAATGGGGAACAGCCCTGTCAGACCTCTTAGATACATTTTACACACTCACATGCTTTTTAGCCATTGGCCAACATTTTGTGGTCAACATTTACATTTTATTTCAAACTTGGTATTTGACATATTTTAACATCTTGGAAAGGGAAAAATTTGTGACCCAGGGTTGCATCTGAATATTCGTTCTGCATGCAATTCCTCAGGTAGGAACATACCTCCCTCTTGATCTTTTATTCTCTTGGTTTATGGGTCATATAAGGATAAGAATATTGTTGGGTTTTTTTTTTTCCCATTTGTTCTGAGTATGGGGGAAAGGTAGAAAGGCCCACTTAACCTCCTTGGAATATACCTATTTGGAACCCAGTTTCAGGGAATTTATATAATGTCTGGCTCACTAGACTGGTTTTTCAAAAAATTAAAATGTTTGTGTGAGCAAAACGGTGTGATCTTAATGTCCTATTTTATATATTCAGCAGTTATAAAGACATAATGTCCTGCAGACACTCTGTAGCAGTATTCAGCTTATCTTTCTCATCATTTTGCCAAACTGTCAAAGTCATCTTTAGTTAACTTTAATCAGTATTAAGAGCCCTGAACTCTTGATGCTGTGAAATATCCCTGGTCCTGGCCTCCTGAAGCCACACCCCCAAAGGGGGCGTTGTCCCCAGGGCTGCTGTGATTCTGCTTACTCTGGAACATTCTCAGAGAATTGTAGTGTCTAAGGGGAGAGATGGCTTCAGATGTTCTCAAATTCTCTTGCTTCCTGAATGGAAAATTGTTAACATGTTCTAATAGAGGATCCCCTCGTTTTTGCCTGTATTTTAAAAAATGGATAGTAAGATGAAAACATACAAAGAACAGATTTCCTCTAAAAAGTTGCATTAAAGAATACAAAATTCAGCCATCTGTATATTAGGTAATGAGATACTGTGTTGTCATTTTCAACATTACAGTTATTACAGTTATTTGAAGTTCATTTATTTAGAGACTGTAAGGCAGGATCTTTGGTGTCTGATCGACTTGGTTTGAATTCTGGCTTCATTCTTTCCTGATGGCTTATCTTTAGGCAAATTATTTAACTTCTTTGAACTTCTAGGTTCCTTTATCTCTAAAATGTGCACATCAAGACCTACCTACAGAGCTTTGGGAGAATGAAGTGAGATTGTGGAAGTCAAGTGCTTAGCACAGAGTAAACTGTCCAAATCAGGCTGGCGTCTCACTTGTACTTTTTTGGTGAACTCTGCTGGCTACATGTTTAAATAGTGTGAAACAATATTGCAGTTTTCAGTGACATTTTTATTATAGTTGGGTTGGGGCGTGGGATACAGGGAAGCAAATACTGGAACTTGTTGACCAATAGAGTCATCATTCAGATGACACGTCCATCCAGAGCTAAAAGCAACAGTCTCAATGCCAGGTCCCCCAGAATAATAATGGGTTTCTGGGATCAGTTTTCGCTGCTTTTCAAAAACTAATGGAAAAGATATAATAAACCTACAGAGGTAAAGAGCCTTTTCTCGCTCCAAAGTACTCAGACACGTTAATACTCTTTTACCATGAGATTAAACAGATATTTGAAAAGAGAAATGGAGGAAAACAGAATTGTCCGCACAGTGAGCATACGCTGGTTCCTCTCTGCTCTTTACTCTCAGCGTGATTCTTTCAGCCATGGCAAGGAGCAGTCCTTAAAAGCTTCAGATGTGCCGGGCACCATCACATGCATATTTTTCATACATGGGGAGCATAATTTCTATTATAGCTCTTCGGGGCTCAGCGACCAAGCTGCACATTTGGAAACGATTTGAGATGAAAGAGACAGAACAACAGCAGGGTACCCTGAAGTAAATGCAAACCCTGGTGAGTTAAAACCACTATCTAATACCTTTCCCTCCCAAAAGCAATTGCACAAAATCCTCTCCATCAAAAAAATCTGAGGATCTCATATAAAATGATATTCCTTCAGCTCATGGTGCTCTTTGCAGCTCGTAAAGCATTTCCAGATACATTCCTATTTTGATCCTCCCAAGGATGGTTTAGTGTAGAGAGGGCCTTATCCCATTCTATGTAGGAAGAAACTGTTGGAGATGTTAAATGGTTTCCTTGAGTCTCACAAAATTTTTGTTAAATATTTAATGAGTGCCTGCTAATGGGTTAGGCTCTGTGCCCTTCGTGGACTGAGCCATATCTTCCTGCTCATGAGTTGTGAGCTTCCTTCCCCTGCCCCTTTTTGCCTGAATCTACTGGTGGTCCACACCTGGACCCTGGGACATAATTCATGTCTGATTTCTCCTGGAGTGAATGCAGTTTTTATTACCTCTCTTCTTTTGCTTCCCA